TCTTCCCTCTCGTGCTCTCTGTCTCTCATTCTCTCTGTCTCAAATAAATAAATAAAATCTTAAAAAAAAAAATGTGTAACTAAAGTTGACTCCAGAAGTGCTTGAGGGCCTAACCTTCCCAATGGGAGGAATTCAGAAACATACCACTGGATGCCCAGGCAGCCCCCAGGTGAGTTCTTTTACACTTAAGATGATGATTCTAAAACCACATAACCGGTTGCAGAATATAGAGATTTTTGTTTAGCACACAAAAGCAAGCGGCAGAATGATTAATCTCAATTATCAATATTAATAGGGGAAATCACAAGTAGGGATCATCTCAGGACCCTAACAGTGGTTTGGTCTTAAGGAATCTATTAATATAATACAACATACTACTAGAGCAAAGGGGAAAACCTTCTGATCATCTCCATGGATACTGAGAGGCTGTGACAATAATCTAACATCTACATTTTCCCCAGAAAGCCTTAATAGCTGCAGAATACACAGATACTTTTTTATTGACAAGGAAAATACATGTCTTCATACAAGTTGAATAGTGAGACACTGAACCATCCCATTAATGTCATGAACAAGATAGGTATGCCACCTGAATCACTATTATTTGACACTGTTCTCAAGGGCAGTCGCCTAAGGGATAGAAATAAGGGAAATTATTGGAAAGGAAAAAGCAAAAGAAAATCTTAGAAACAGTAAGAAAATACATTTAAAGTGGTTGATTGTGACATTAATATACAAAATCAACTACATTCCTATACAACCAGTTAGCAAATAAAATGGAAGAAATATTCCATTGAAAATGGTAGCCAAAGGATAAACTATCTAGAACTAGACAAGAAATTCATAGGACCTATCTGAACAAAACCATAAAAATCTACCAAGCGGCGTAAGATAAGATTTGAACACAAGCCTAGACTGCACTCTTGAATAGGAAGACTCATATAAATTCATTGTGACCTCAGTGAGGGAGACAAACCACATAGGAAACAAACGGGGGGTTGCTGGAGGGGAAGTGGGTGGGAGATGGAGTTACTGGGTGATGGGCATTAGTGGGGGCACGTGATGTGATGGGCACTGGGTGTTATATGCAACTGATGAATCACTGAACTCTACATCTGAAATAATGATGTACTATATGTTGGCTAATTGAATTTAAATTAAAAAACGTATGTATGGGAGAGGGAAATAGAGAAGAGAGAGGAAGAGGGGAAGGTAGAGGCAAAAAAGTGTTAAGGGGGATGGTTAACTTGAAAATATTAATATATGAATATTTGATATATGAATAAAGCTTCAGAAATGAAAGGCATTCACAGAGAGACAAACCAATAAGTATAAATAGCCCCAAAACACTTAACAGGAATTTAGTTTACAAACAAGGAGGCATTCTGAACAAAATGGGGAAAAGACTAACTGTATTACAGGGATACACTGTTATATATTTTGTTGGCACAACTGACCATTTGGAGAGAAAAAAAATTCATTTTTACCTTCATTTCCTGCAGTGAATGAATTCCAGGGAGTTAGAAGATGTAAACAAATGAAACCATAAAAATTTAGAAAAAAATATGAGTAAATTTATTTATAATCTCAGAATGGGGAAAGGCCTTTTAAAACTGGAAACAAATCCCAGGATCTACCAAAGCAGATCTGGATAAATTGACAACATAAAACTTTAAACTTTCTATATGCTAAGAAATCAATAAATAACATCAAAAGACAATAAACAAATAAAAATATTTTCTAAAAAAATAAGAATATTTTCAAGATATAAGACAGGGAAGTTCCAAAGTACACAGGCTAAAATTAATTAAGAAAAAGCCAAATAACCCAAAATTATGTAAAGGACATAAATTTACAAAAATTGAAATTTCTAAAAAATATCTGAAAGATACTTAACTTCATAATAAAATGAGCTAAATCAGAATAACATTGCAATATAATTTTTACCAGATTGGAAAAAAATATTAAGTTTGATAATACCCAGTACTGAGAAAGTTGAGAAACTGGCCTTTTCTTTATACTTTTGGTAGGTATATTCATTGATCGGTATTTGGAGGGTAATCTGGCAATACCTACCAAAATGTTAAATGCACATAGCCTTAAATCCAGCAATTCTCATTTCCCACTTATAATTTATACCAAGATATGGTCAAAAACGTATCCTAAGCTATAAATCAAGGATGCTAACTACAGATTTGTGTATAAAAATAAAAACTGGAAAAACTCTATATGTTCACTAACAGATTAACCAAAAAATTATATCCACCAAGAGAATGGAATGCTAAGCAGCTATTAAGAAGAATGAGGTAGATCTTTATATGTTGTTATGGAAGGATGAAATACTAATCGCAGAAAGCAAAGTGCAGAGTGCTGTGCATATCATGAGTGGTAGTAAAGGAGCCTCTCTCCATGCCCCCTTCCTCCCCCTCCTGGCCTCCCTCCCTTTCTTTTTCTTCCTTTCTGGAAATGTCCCCTAGCCCTCAGAAGCTCACTCACCGGTGGTTTCTGTAGCTATTCATGCCTTTCTTACTACATGTGCATCTTTTCCTTATTATTACTTTTTAAAATGGCAGAGTATTAGTCGAGTGGTCAACATATAAACTACTTTTGTTTGTTTTTTTATGTTTTTCTGTATAAATACAAAATCAAAAAAGTTTTCTTTTTCTAAGCAAAAGTGTTATGGGATTAATTTTCAGGTAGCAATAAGAAATGAAGCATTCCCTGATATATCAAAACACTTCTACTTGTGTCTACAATAGAAAAAAAAAAGAGAGAGAGAAAGAAAAGATTGTGCATTGTTCATCCATCCCATGTGGACTGGCTGAACTCTGAGGACAACCTTGCTCCAAATGGCGTGATATTAGCTAGAATGCGCTTACTTATCAACCTTCTTGTCCTAAACAAGGCGTCCCCCTGCAGCTGCACACTCAGCGCTCACGCGCCCCCACACACGGAGCATGCCCAAGCCTCCATTCTCCTCAGTGCAAACAAATCCATGTGCATTACCCAGAAATGAGTGAAGTAAATGGCTGGAGAAAGGTATGCAATTTCTTTTGCTCTGAAAATCTAATCTTCCCCCATAATACATCCATCTCAGGGGTTAGAAGCAAATTAAAGATCCCCAGGAGCTCAAAGCCTTCTGCAGTTTTTGAGCTCGGATCTGTTACTAGACGAAACAACAGAACAGGAGAGATTTTGTTGTCTCCCTCTGATCGCATTAAAAAATAAGGAAAACAGGAAGAGGCAGGGCGACCACTGCCAGCTAGATAATGTAAGTGGAGAACTGTGTCATCACACAGGTTTAAAATGAAAGTTTCCCTTGCTTTCAAAATGCTGATCTCCAGGGAATCTACCTGTTCAAGCCACCTTTCTGGGCTAACGCTGGGGTCATTGAGCTGTGGGAAAGCAGATCCCTAAAAGCCAGAGACTGGAGTTACTGGGTGAATAGCCACCCTCAGCCCGTCAGCCCCTCCTGCTGACTTCCACTGGCCTTGCGTCCAGGAAAGCCACTGGCCACATCATCCCCTTCCCAGTTCCTGCCATACAAGGAACCAGAAGAGGTCCCAGATCCTGCTCTTTGGCCTTGAGACATAAGGAAAAGCCTAGCATACTTCCACTTTATGTTGTGCATTTGTACGGACCCGCAAGTTTCTAAGACTAACCAACTCTAGCACACGAGAAACATCTAATGCATTATTAAACACACACACACACACACACACACACACACACACATAGCTGGCTTAATTTAACTTTAGCTATTACATTGGGCTGGTAATTCTAATAGAACCCTCTTTGTCCTTTGGGTTTTTCAGAATAGAGCAAACTGCACTCCCCAATGTCTGAGGGCAGCACAGGAAGTTTGGGAGTCACCTGGTATCTACAGAAATCCCCCTAACTTGTGTGGGTCTGGTCCTAGTTCAGAATCAACACACATCCATGTCCCTCCTGATTCCCACCACAGGGTAGGTTGGCAGAAATCAAGCTGGTAAAAGCATAATTTACAAGACCAACTATGTCTCGCTCTCTCTTATAAAACGTAGGAACAGTGTAAAATTGTTTCTCTCTACCATCTTTGGCAGAGAAAAATAAAACCTGAATCACGGAAAAACCAGCAGTTAGGTTTTTAGTTTTCGTTGTGTGTCCTTTTACCAATTATTTGAATGGATCTAGTGAGTGTGGTTTATTACTATTATTATTACTTTCAATCTAGGTTTGTAAACAGGCAAAAGCTTATGCTGAAGTTTCCATAGGTCTTCTTGGCAAGTGACATGCAGGCATGCAAAACCAACTGTACAGGCCTCCCCTGGTGGTCCTGAGCCACCCTGACCTCTCTGAAGGGCTCCCCAGGCATTGGGAAATGGGCAAAATGACCTCTCAGTGGTGCTGGTGACCCTAAGGATGTTCCAAGAATATCAAGCCGCCCATCTGAGAGGATTAAACAAAACCGTGCTGAGATCCTATTACGGAAAGTAACAAGGAAACTATAAGGGAGATGACTGGCAGCGAGCGCTCCGGGTACATCAGCGTCCTCACGTCGAGTGTGGCTGTGGGACTAGCACCCCAAGTTCTCCCAAGCCAACGGCATCGCCTGTCTGTGCGCTTCCTACATGCGCGGGACCAGGACCAGGTTAGGCGAAGTCTTTGGACACGGCCTCGACGAAGTTTGGAGCTGACATCAGGATGCCGATGGTGCAGATGATGGTGAAGACGGAGAAGGCCATGAGACACAGGCGGTCCACCACGCAGGCCGCAAATTTCCACTCACTGCAGATGGCCTCGCTCTCGTCCTGACAGCGGAAGCGGTTGGCGAGGTAGCGCACCTCCTCCAGGATCTTGGCCAGATCCGGGTCCCCCTCGGAGGGCTGCCCGCCGTGCAGGAGGTGCTCGTCGTGCGTGGGGGAGCAGGCCATGCGGCCGCACACGACGCCCGAGTCGGGGGTGGGGGCGCCGTGCACTCCGTCCAGGCCGCGGAAGCCGATGTAGAGCAGGTTGCCGTTGGTGGTGGGCGGGGCCGCCACCGCGCTCACGTCCACACTGGCCAGGCTGCAGCGACGCGGCTTGTGCTGGCATGCCGGCCGCACCTTGTCCTCCCCCGGCCTCTTCATGCGCAGGAACCAGGCGCACCAGTTCAGAAGGATGACCCTGGTCTGGGGAGACCACAGGACGGTTAGGAGCGGGCGGAAGCGAGCATCAGCGGGTCGCGGTCCCAGCCCTGCTCGGGGGGCCCTAGGGGAGACAGGCCCCACTCGTCCCCAGGGGAGTTTACACAGGCAGGCACGCGTTGCAGCGGCCGAGTCAAACTGAGCCCAGAACAAACCAACGCAGAAAGTCACCCTGGGAAGGAGCGGAATTCTGTGGCAGACACACTGCGGTCTCGGGGCAGACAGGCACGCGGGAGGAGAGCCCTGTCTCGGAAAACGAGCCCTGCCTGAGCTGCGTGAACAAGACATTTTCCCTTTGCAGTCTTTCCTCATCTGTCGCCAGCAACCATCATACCCAACTGCCCGTGAGGCGCCCCAGTGCCACGGCGGACTTGCAAAGGCAAACCCCTGGAGATTTTTAAAATTTTCAAGGACAGCCCTGTGACACCTAGCAGGTGCTGCATGAACGCCTAGTCTGAAGCAGTTCCGACGACGACATCGGGTCCCTTGCAATGATGGCATACCATTGCAAAGCAGGTTTCTGTTGTCCTGACAAAAAGCAAGTGCCAAGAAAGTCAAAGTGTAACAGAAAATGGGGGCATTATGCTCCTAAGATTTGAAAGGGTGTGCTGCCAACAGGTGCCTAGGGGTCAGGGCATACACACTTAAGTTGCTTTGACCAATGTAATAAAGAGAACCATTAATGGTATTTCTTTTGCCCTAGGGGCTGTGAAAAAAATCCCTGAGACACTAAAGGTGCTGTGAACCAAGGAAGTTTAGGAACCTCTAACCTAATTCGCTAGGCTGAAGTGAAGACTGAGTACGATGATGTGCAGGAAAGTACTTGGACTTTCTTTAAAGGGCCACATAATAAAGTCCATAAGGTCTCTGTTGCAGCTACTCAGCTGTGTTAATAAAGTACAAAATAGTCATAGAAAGCATGAAAGAAATAAGCCTGGCTTTTTTCTAATAACATTTTATTTGCAAAAGCAGCTGGTAGGCCAGATTGGAGCCATAGTTTGCTGACCGCTGGTTTAAAGTGTTTTATCAACATATATTGCCTACATGCATAGATGATGCTGGAGAGAAATCACGGGGATTTCTTGTTTTTCCCTCTAATGAAAAGAAGGAGCCATGTGAAACCTCAGTCCGGGTCAAAACAATTCTTGGAAGCCTATTTAGACAGGTATATGAAAAGTGGGCCCTTTCCCTGAGATTATCCAGATACTGACTTTAATTTTGGTTTATGATTGTGGGTGAATTCCATCAGCAACCTAACAGGTTATGTTTCCCATCTGTAAGTACAGGCAGTAAGCTGTGAAGTTCATGTCTGTAGTACTTTTTATGACATCTTATCACAGATGACTGCAGTAGACCGGTCTGGAGACAGGCAAAGAAAAGAACAAGAAGGCGTAAGAGTATATTCACTGCAGATGTAAAGATAAATCTTTGCTCAGAGCACACAGCCCTCTATATATCCTGCCCATACCCTATGGACAAACCTGCAGAGCCTGGAAAAGCCTGTCTGCATACCCTGGAGGGTTTTCCGTGATTAGTAGAGAGCAGGGACACATGGCCCCACGTGAATCTGCAGGTCTGGCCCTCCGCAGGAGGCTCATAAGACATGCCAGCTCAATTGGGCCTCTCAGGGGCTCTGTGAAGTGAGTATAATTTCCCCCACCCATTTTATAGATAAAGAAACTGAGACTTCAAGGAGGCTAATAAATTGGCTCAAGGTCACACAGTAAAGCAAGTCACCTATGTGTTTAGGCTTCCACAGCTCATCTGTAAAAGGGTCTACAGTCTTCTTCAAAACTCCTGTGACTTTAGCCCAACCCCCACTTCGAAGGCACTGGAAAGACTGGACCAGAGCTCAAGGGAATGCACTGGGCAATGGGTGCTTTCAAACCCAGCGATGGCTGTACACGGAGTGTGTGTGTTGGGCTGGGGGTGGGGGCGGCCTCTGCCTACCCTGGAGCACATCTCAAGCTAATGTGATCCACACTACAAAGTCTATTTTGAATTCCACGGCCTGAATCATTTGCTTTCGCAGCTAAAGCATCTCAAAAGATGAAATTATCCTCTTGGCACTTATCCAACTGTGCTCATGACCTCTTTTGTTAGGTTATGGCCTTGCGTCTGGCTGCGTAAATGTCACATAATGCCACGGCATCGGCAGTTTCTTCTTCATAGCAACACATCATAATAAAAGTTCCTTGGAGGCTGTTTATTTTTTAAATACACACAAAGAAAGAAAAATGCAAGAGGCTATATACATTGAAAGCGAGAGATACAAGCTTCATATTTCATTTGCAGCCATTGGTTTTAACATACTCCTGTGCTGAGAGGTGAATAATGAACATAGGCTCGTAACTAAGATTTTTTTCTGGACGATAAAGTACTACCAGGTCATTAAAAATGGTTTGTGTCCTCCCGTCTTAAACAGAAGAAATAATAACATGCGTTTGAGTCTTACATTTGCATAAACAAACACTTGAAGGATAATGGAGAAATTGCTTGAAATGGCTATCACTATTGGCGGTGGAAGCACAGTGAGGGGCAGGAATGAGAGCAGGATTTTACTTTGATTTTGATGTTTGGAACATGTGAATGTATTACCTATTTCAAACGGAAGGAGGGTAGCCAGAGAGTGTGTCAGGGTTATAAAAGTCAGATGGCAACGTAGGTGAATGTGTGCCAATGTGTCCCAGTTTTTAATGAGGGGACCTTCTCAAAATAAACCCAGGGACTGCAGTGATGTAAATGTGTGGGGGGATAGCACCACTTCTGGGAGCTCACTCCATTGCTATGAGAGAAAGTCATTATTAAGTGTACAGATCTGCAGTGGAAAAGAACCCAAGAGGACACAGTAACTTGGTAAAGTCAATTTTTTTTTTTTTTTTAAATTGGTCTTTCCTAAGTTCACTTCTGGGTAACTGTAAATTATTGCACAATGAATATCTTTAGAAGGCCCGGGAACTCTCTCTTCCCGGAGGTTAACAAAAGACACCTTACTTCTTGCACCTGCATTTAGCATGTTGGGGAGTCTTAGACTCCCTTCTGAACTTGGATGCAGAGTTATAGGTCTCCAAAGAAAACAGGCTTGTTTTGACATGAGAGGACTCTACCTGCTGTCCCTAGGCCATGCTCTTGGGACAAGAACACTGGAAGGTTTGCAGGGCCCGAGGAAGACGCAATCCCTCCCCTGGCCTTGGATGTTGTCACACTGTGCTGAGGTGAGAAAAAATTTGGCCCTTCAAGGTTTCCTGAGTGTCAGGTGAGGCTGGGCACACAGTTTCAGATCCTGGACTCCGAAGGGCACGGCATGGGTAAGCATCTGCCCGCGTCCCAGTGCATGGGGCTAAGCAGGTGCTGGGGAGGCGTAGCGTGGCCCGCAGCTGACGCAACAGGCTGTTATATTCAATTGTGTCTCTTTCATCCTTTTGCTTTTATCCTAGCGCCCTTCCCCACTGCTAACTACTGACCTGAATTTTAGAGGCCTGTGGTAAGATTACATTCCTACATGTACTGCCTACATGAATTATTATATGGCTCACTCTCTCTCACCATTTTGGCTCCTCATTCTGTTTGGAAGATCCAACCACATGGCTGGGTGCTTATCTCGTCCGTTGCTTCCAACCACTGTACTGTTCTCCATAGAGTACATACAAAAAGTAGTTTTAGAAACACTCTGGTTGCAAAATGTACAGAGCGGCCAGTGCGTGGGCCGTGTTCTGGAATGTCAGATCGCAGGAACAGTGCCATGGGCCCTACGAGCATGCTCACCGTAACGGTCCAGAGCTAATGCAATCGTGCAGACAGGTGAGGAGGCGTGAGAAACATGGCTCTGTGTCGAGGAACACTAGCTGTTTCTAGGACTTTTAACACAGATAACTCATCTGTGGAGTCACCCCTGGCGAGGGCCCCCGACTCCCCGTGGTGAAGGGCAGGAGGAACGCACCCACTTGGGCATCTTGCCGCCGTCGGGGTCGTGGTGGTGGTACTGAAGCACGATCACCGTCACGACCACGGAGAGGCCCACGATGATCATGGTGCTGGCGAAGTACTGGGCTGCAGAGACAAGAGACGCAGGGTGAGCCCCGGGCCCCCCACGGCACAAGCATCGCAGCGTGGCAGGCAGACCCAGACGGCGCTCTCTGATCGCCTGCGACCAGGTGGTGAAGCCTAGAGCAGGGCAGGGCTGCCTCCGGGCCAGCAGACCCGCACCCCCCACCCCCAGCTCACGTTCCCGGCAGGCAGAGGCCAGCGCAGAGCATGCACACCTGCTTTCCCGTCCACATAAGCTGCCTGGCCTGGCTGCCTGCACTTCTGTGAACGCCATCGGCCTCTTCCTCCAGTGAGGGTTAACAGTGCCTCATAGGATGCCGATACGGTTGTTCTCAGGAGAAAGGCTGTGGACCGTTATGGGAACTGGGAATAATGGGGTAGTGAGGGTCTGGTCCCCACCGTGATAACTGCAGGCCAGGGACATGCTGGGGTGGGCAAATCTGGGCATCACTGGTGGGGTACCTGGTATTAGTGTGGAAGATGAGTCTGCTCCCATTTAATGAGAGATAGGAGGAGGTGCCAGTTATCTGAGGAAGACGGGGAAGACATTGACTTTCCCGGCTGAGAAGATCAGCTTCAGCTCCGATGGGCAAGGATGCATTTCTCCACCTTGGCCCAGGTGAGAAGAAGCATGGAGCATCTGAAGCAGCTCTCCCCTAACCCACTGCCCCTGTCCATGAGTTCAGACATCTATGAGTTTAGATAGGCTACTCAGCCTGCCTGGGCCTCAGGTTCTTCACGAGTATAACAAGGATGGCAATGCCTTCTTCTGCAGGGTTGTGCAAGAATTAGCAAGTATATGAGCCAAGAATCTAGAAGAAAGCCTGGCAAAGGGAAGACATTCCTTGATTGGCAACTCCGGTTATTAAACCTTTGGTGTGGCTTTCAGCTCAAGGGGGCTGATCTCTAAGCAGAGAACATCCTGGTGCAGAGGCTAAGTGCATGGCCACACACCCGGTTAAGAACGCCTCCTTCTCCGGTGCCTGGGTGGCTCAGTTGGTTAAGCGACTGCCTTCAGCTCAGGTCATGATCCTGGAGTCCCTGGATCGAGTCCCGCATCAGGGTCCCTGCTCAGCAGGGGGTCTGCTTCTCCCTCTGCCCTCTTCCCTCTCGTGCTCTCTGTCTCTCATTCTCTCTCTCTCAAATAAATAAATAAAATCTTTAAAAAAAAAAAACAAACGCCTCCTTCTCTCCAGGCAGGAAGGAACTCACTGCCCCACTGTGAGAAGCTGCCAGAGATGGACGTTTGAGACTTCAAGTTAGCACCAGGGACCTCTAAGAAGGGGAAGGAGGGTGAACAAAACTATGACTGCTATGGGCTGGGTGGGTTGTGGCCTCCTAAAATTTAGATGTTGAAGCTCTAGCCCCTGGTATCTCAGAATAGGACTGTATTTGAAGACAGGGCCTTTAAAGAGGGGATTAAGTTCAAATGGGGTCCTTAGAGTGGGACATGACCCAATCTGACTGGTGTCCTTATAAGAGGGGAACTTTGCCCACACAAGGGGGTACCAGGGATGCACCCAGATAGGAAAGACCATGTGAGGGAACAGCAAGAGGGTGGTCATCCACAAGGCAAGCAGAGAGGCCTCAGTAGATATCAAACCTGCTGGCACCTTGGTCTTGACTTCCAACCTCCAGAACTCTGAGCAAATACTTTTTTGTTCTGTAGGCACCCGGTCTGTGGAATTTTTTTTTTTTTTAAAGATTTTATTTATTTATTTGACAGAGAGAGACAGAGAGAGACAGCGAGAGAGGGAACACAAGCAGGAGAAGTGGGAGAGGGAGAAGCAGGCTTCCCGCTGAGCAGGGAGCCCGATGTGGGGCTCGATCCCAGGACCCTGGGATCATGACCTGAGCCGAAGGCAGACGCTTAACGACTGAGCCACCCAGGCGCCCCATGGTCTGTGGAATTTTACTGTAGCAGCCCTAGCCGACCAAGACAATGACCTGTGGAGGTATCCAGGGTCAGAGGATCCCACAGCTGAAATCTCAACAACAGAGGTCAGAGGCCAATAGGAGCCCATCTTTCTAAACATGGGCTATGCATCAACCATGCCTTTTCCCCACTGGTCCATCAGTCAAGGCAAGGCTGCCCATTGTCCCACAGAGGGTGCTTCCTGTTACAAGTCTCTATTGAAAGCATTGTGTTGGAAGGTAGGAAGAGTGGGTCAGACCGTCAAGGTGAAACATGGTTCCTTGTCCTCTAGATGGTCATGAGAGAACTAGGAACACCCATACAGGTTTTTCATACCAATACTGTCTCTCTCTGACCAAAATATTACACATTAAGGGAAAAAAGAAGAGCTTTGGGAGTATCTGTGTAAGAGAAATAGGCTCCCCTACTCCTATCCTCCCTTGTTAACTACACAGGGTGGCCCTCCAGTCGCCTGGGCCAACAGGAATAATCATAGACTCCATTCCTCTTTCTGAACTCCATCACCAAACTGGAGGAGTGATTCTCATATTAAACCAAATATCCACCATCAGACTGTCTGCTTCCCATTAGGCTGGGGGTCTGGTTCCCTGACCAGTAACAGAGCCCTGGCTGTGGTGGCGAGAGTACCAGATCCTGACCGCTAGACCGCTGAGCACCTCTGTGCACGTTTCTGCTTATTCCACTCCAGGGAGGCGCACAGGCACAAGGGGTGTTATCTCCTGTTTCTGTCATCCTGCCTTGGGCAGAAGGTCATGCCTTATATCTGTCTTGGCTAAAACATATTTGTCCTGTTTACATTTCCTCACAAGCTTTAACTTTATCCAGAGACATCGGGGTATCTCGGGAAACAATGGCCAAGAGTTAAAATGTGAGCTCCTCCCATTTTGACAAAGGATTTGTGGAAGAACAATGACTCAAAGCTAAAGTAACAAATCTCTAATGGTAATATCTCTGGCTGCATAACAAGTGTGACGGGGAGAACGACGGGAGGAAGGGTGCGTTTCTGCACCTTCAAGCCAAACCACAAAGCTCGACTCCCCACACTCCCCCTACATGTGCCCAGGTGAACAGAGGCCATGGGCCATTCGAACAGGTACAGAAAGTCACTCCTCCTGGGGCCATGTGGCTCTCCAGGGCCCTCTCTAAGCCCGTGTCTTCAAGAGAGGCCTGACACCTGCTTACCTATCAAGGGCACCGAGTCGGATGTCGCAGGCATGATCTCAGCCACCAGCAACATGAAGACAGTGAGAGAGAGTAAAACCGTTATCCCTGAAACATAAACACAGCAGTGCCTGAGACCCAAGAGGTGATAAGGCCTCAAGTCCATTAACTGTGCCTTATCTGAGATTCAAAGAACTAGGGAGGTGTAGGGGAGGGGCCAGTGACATTCTGAAACCCAGGGCAGGGTTCTCTGTATGCAGGGGCATGGCCATTTTTCTGGGGGCTGTTCACAGCATTTACCAGAGTCCCGGATGGAGGTAAACTTAGGAGCCAGAACTTTAGAACAACGATACAAAATGAACTACTGAACCTAACACAAGTATCTCTCATTTTCTTAATTACATTAGGATTGAGAGGTAGTTACATATAGCAGCGGGAAAAAAAAAAAAAAAAAACATGCAATTTTAAGACCTGACTTTTGGTCTTGACTTTGCTACTTACTATCTGTGTGACCATGGATAAGTTACTTAACGTGCCTGAGCCTTGCTGTCAGAAGATATAGGTTGGAGGATGATTTCTACATGTACTAAATATGACCTTTAATAACTCTAAGATGTTGAGAAATTCATTTCACCATTCTTAGTTTTCTTATCTTCCTATTGGATGATCATAAGGAATTACCCTGTGTATGGCAATATACAGATGCAAACCAATACTAAACTAACTAAACTGTTTCCTGTCCATAACAAATGCTGGCCAGTTGCTCCCAAGGAATAGGATGGGGTGGCAGGAGAAGAGAAAGTAAGGCCCCTCAGGACAGAACCCAGTGGTCTCTTCCTGGGCATCTTCTGTGGAGGATCAGAGGATATTACAGATTTTCAGGAGGGCATTGGGCATCTAGCATGAAGCCTAAATCAGGAGCCGTGGTGTTGGGGAGATGCCCTGGGCTGGGAGGTCAGTGTGTGATGCACCAAGCAGGCTCTCCAACATCTCTGCACCCAGAGCCATCCTGCACTGTCCACAGGGATCGCTACAGAGCTGACCTCAAGGCAAGGCCCTCCCATCCTGTCTCAGACTCCTGCCCAAGATCAGGACACTTACCCAGGGAAATTTTCTCCCCTGAATCTGCAGGGAGCAAGAAGACGAGGAGGGCCAGCGCAGAGATGAGCACACAGGGGATGAGCAGATTGAGGCCATAGTAGAGGGTCCTGCGGCGAATGGTCACTGTGAAGGTGACGTCTGGGTAGGGCTCTTTGCAACACTCATAGAACTTCTCACTCCGCTTGCCTGGGATTCCTCCATGAGCAACAGGGGAAAGGAACAGTGTCTGAATAAAATTACCCTGCTTGTTTATTTTAATGAGTATATCATACAAATAACCATGGAGTTTGCTAAGTGCTAAAAAAACAACAACAAAAAAACCTGGGTCATCAGTGTTTGAATAAACTCTGGTATGTTAGAGTTGTTCAGGAATATCTTAGTGATAATGGAACAAACTGGGAGAATTTTTTTAGTGGATTGAAACTAGATGTATATATGGTAAATGTTTGTGTCCCACTCAGTATTCCTATGTTGCAACACTAACCCCCACAGTGATGACATTTGGAGATGGGCCCTTTGGGATGGGATTATTGCCCTTACAAAAGAGGCCTAGAGAACTCCTTAGTCTCTGCTGTGTAAGATGACAGCCAGCTGGGCGCCTGGGTGGCTCAGTTGGTTAAGCGACTGCCTTCGGCTCAGGTCATGATCCTGGAGTCCTGGGATCGAGTCCCGCATCGGGCTCCCTGCTCAGCAGGGAGCCTGCTTCTCCCTCTGACCCTCCCCCCTCTCATGTGCTCTCTCTCTCTCATTCTCTCTGTCTCAAATAAATAAATAAAATCTTTAAAAAAAAAAAAAAAAGAAGGCAGCCAGCTATGAACCAGGAAGCAGGCCCTCAGGAGACACTGGATCTGCCTTGATCGTGGACTCGATCTTGGACTTCCCAGCCTCCAGAACTGTGATAAATAAACTTCTGCTGTTTATAAGCCACCCAGTCTATGGCATTCTGTTTTAGCAGCCTGAAGGGACTAAGACACCATGATTATAAATAATACATTATGAGCTTTACAACATTATAAATGTAATTACTGTTTTTCTATTTAAAATCATTGAATATAGGTTCTCATGAACTGCAATTTGCTATCCAACCTGATTTTAGGAATGGAGCAGATGCTAATAAAATAGCCTACACTAGCACTGACTTGTTTAAACAGCTGCACGTTTTCATGGAAAGTGTTGAATTTCCTAATTGTTTTTTATTTCTTATTGTATAGCTCTCAGTAAATTATAGAGATTGCTGCAGGGTTCAATAAATGCTCACACTGAAAAGCAGAGTGGAAAATCCCAAACTTCCAAAGCCAGCACAGGAACAAAAAGTGGCTTTCTACAAGGCTGCTGCTAGCCTCACGTCTTTGCTGGGCTTACCCACAAGGTCCCATTCTCCGTTTGGTATATATCCACTGATATCTGCCTCTTGCATCTGTAGATCCAAGGACCACCCTCCGTAAGACCAGGACCCAAACTTCAGTTTGCACTGCTGCACATCAAAGGGGAACCAGCGCACGTCGATGTAGCAGGAGCTCTTGAATATGCCTATATGGGCAAAAAAACAGTCAGAAAACCAAAATGGAAGGGGACCAAGCTGGGCTTTAAATACACAGCAGTCTCACACTGCTGGTGGGAAAGCAGACTGGTGCTGTCATTATGAAAACAGTATGGAGATTCCTAAAAATATTAAAAACAGAACTACTATATGATCCAGTGACCCCACTTTTGGGTATATATGCAAAGGAAACAAAATCACTATCTGGGAGAGATATCTGCACCGCCATGTTCCTCATGTTCAGGGCAGCAGTATTTGCAATAGCTGAAGAATGGAAACAAGCTAAGTATCCATCGACGGATGAATGAAAAAAGAAAAAGATTATCAAATCATACACACACAATGGAATACTATTCAGCCTTAGGAAAGATGGAAATCCTGCCATTTGCAATAACATGGATGAACCTGGAGGGCATTATGCTAACTGAAATAAGCCAGACAAAGATAAATACTGTATGATCTCACTTACACGTGGATTTTGAAAAAAAAAAAAAAAAAAAAGCTGAACTCATAGAAACAGTGAGTTGCCAGGGGCTGGGGGAGGTGGGGAAATGGACTGTCCAGGGGTACGAACTTTCATTTACAAGGGGAGTAAGTTCAGAGGATCTAATGTACAGCGTGGTGACTCTAGTTAATAATACGGTATACTTGAAATTTGCTAAGAGAGTAGATCTTAAACATTCCCATGGAAAGCAGAACAAAACCCAACCATGTAAGGTGATGGATGTGTTAACTTGATTGTGGAAGTCATTTTACAAAGTATGTGGTATATTAAGTCATCATGTTGTACACCTCATTACATTTTCATTTGTCAACCATACTTCAATAAAGATGGAAAAAAATTGAAATAATCGTAAGTAAATAAATAAATAAACACAGAACTATCCCTTGGGTCTCTAACCTCATATGCTGTTCACAATATGCAGTGACTCTTCTTCCTGGAAAGGGTTGGTGAGTTAAACGATACATTATTTTTGATGTTCAGCATGTCTTTTTGATCAGTGTCTTATGCACCCATTGTTCTGGCCCACCTGTGTTCCCTTCAAGAAGCTGAGGCATAAGCTCCTGGGCCTCTAGACTGGGTGTGACCAGAGAGGTCTTCACCCCCTCCTCCTCCTCCAAACTACAGCTAGACCTGTCCAGAATAAGCTTGGTTTTTTTTTTTTTTTTTTTGGAAAAATCTCTAGAAAGGAAGCTCAGCTGAAGCTCCACTGTCTTTTAAAATTCACAGACAGGGGTGCCTGGGTGGCTCAGTCGTTAAGCGTCTGCCTTCGGCTCAGGTCATGATCCCAGGGTCCTGGGATTGAGCCCTGCGTCTGGCTCCCTGCTCAGCGGGAAGCCTGCTTCTCCCTCTCCCACTCCCCCTGCTTGTGTTCCCTCTCTCGTTGTGTCTCTCTCTGTCAAATAAATAAAT